TAAAAATGTAATTTTCATTTTCTAAAATAGTGTTTTTTTACGAGTAGTACAAAATTCCTTAGGCGCCGGACGCCGCCGCCGCCGCCGCCGCGCCGATATTTTCGTAATTCGGCGGCGGCGCGTGAAAAATGACAAAAAACGGCGGCGGCGGCGGCGTGGCTCGGCGGCGTATACCTCTAACCTGCTGAAAAGGAAATCATATCGCCTGCGTGATAACTGTTGTGTCATTCAGGTGGTGTCCTTTGCCATAAAGAAGGCGGTTTTTCTTATACAGAATAGTAGGTTTCTGTCATAATATTCATTGACAGCCAGGTGGCATAGAAAATTTAAAAAAAAAAACGGAAGTATTTCGGAAATGTCGGAAATTGTTTCCATGAGTCACGTCAAAACCTGTCTCTTCTTCTAAATATAGCAATATCGAGGGGAACAACATAGCCGACAAAATGGCTAGACACGGCTCGGAAATGCATTATTAGCTAAGCTGATAACTTCCTACTACCACAAATTTCTGATCAACTAAAGAGGGTTGAATACCAGGGATTGTAACAGTTACAACTTTTATTAAAAAAATCTATCTTTAATAATTATTTTTTGACTTTTACTTAATTACTCCTTAAATAACAGTTATTTCTGACTTTTATCTTATAAATCCAAAATAACAATTATTCGTGATTTTTATCGGAATAATTGCAAATAACAGTTATTTTCGATTATTTAATTATATGTCTCAGATAACAGTTATCGAAGACTTTTATTTATAAAAGTCATACATAAAATTCAGTAACTGACCTTTATTTTTTAAATCATACATATAAAAGTCATTTGTATGAGTCGTAGTAAACTTTTGTTTCCCAACACCTTCTTAACTGCGAAAAATGTTTTAAAGGCTTTTATACCAATGATTTAAAAAATAAAAGTCGATGACTGATTTATATTGATGACTTTTAAAAGTAAAGGTCACTGACTGATTTTTATTGATGTTTTTTTTTTATAAATAAAAGTCTTCAATAACTGTTATCTTAGACATATAATATAAAAATCAAAAATATCTAATTGTTATTTTGGATTTATAATATAAAAATCAACAACAATTTTAATTTTTTTTAATTTTGCATAATTGCAAATAAAAATTTATTTTCAAATTTGAGTCGCGGTGAAAAAAGGAATCGATTGGTGTGTATTACTTAGTTTTAGAACATTTCCTACATAGTGAATTTTTCCATGACAGTTTCCATCAATAACTGTTATGTTCGGTCCCTGTTGAATACACCACTACCGTATGACCTATGGATTAGTCGGGACGAATGTGAGATCCCAAGATCCTTGTGACCGAGAGTCAATAAGAGTCGTACTGAAGAATTACTTATGCCAAACCAATCTTCAGTAAGTGATAAAACAAAATCAACATGTAAGCAGCTATTTGAGTCACTGTATATGCATTAGGGTGGTCCCTAAATACAGGAAGCAAATTTTTACATCAGATTTCGTAAGCGTTAACCCCTACGTCGATGCTACTGTAGTCGAAGATATCACATATAAATGTTGATGCCGATTGAAGTCGGTTAAGGCGTGTCGCACAGGGGTCAAATTTCAGATTACTCTATGAAGACGCCTTAACCGAATCCAATCGGGACCAAAATTTATATGTGATATCTTCGATATAGGAGTATCGATTTTGGGTATTAACTAGATGAAAAAAAAAATATATTTTTAATTTTTTGAGTCCAACCGGGCCCCCTTTGACCCCTTGACCCCTTTGCGACACGCCTCACCCGACTCCAATCGGGACCAAAATTTATATGTGATATCTTCGACTAAGACTGAAAAAATTGTTCATTGATTTTAGTGACCACCCTAATATGCATGTCAAGTTCATATTCCATTTAGTTTAAATTTCGATCTACTATAAATAAGTAGTTACAAATTCAGAGAATATAGTCCAAATATTACTAGTCACGGAATTCAATGTTCTTAGTTTAGTATTTAAGGCACGCTTAAAATCGTTAAACATATATACATACATATGTATGTATGTACATACGTACAGCCATATGTAACTACATGTGCATTTACACTGTAACGAAACAATATTAGGTTATTGCATCATGTTTTTACAATACTTTAATGACTACAAATAATTGCATGTAATGATTTGCTAAATATTTTAGAATTGCCAATAATGAAAACAAAAGTCTCGTAAGCGAATTTTTTAATACTACTACTGCTTATGTTTACAACAACCTAATAAAAAGGTTAGATTTCTTCAAAGATAGTGATGCTTTGTATAAAGGCCTAACCAACGTCCACATTTTCAACTTGTAGGCAAGTGAACATCATATTTACATTTACTACATATGTATGTACATATATAGCAACAGTTATGTGCTATATATAAGGATTTGCCCTTAAGCTATTATTTCACTAAGTCAAGCAATTAGTCAGTTAATAAATTAAGACTTTAAGGGCCATTTACTCAAAGAATCCATGCATATAACAGGGTGTCGGTAATGTCGACAACGATGTTTAAACGGAGATTCTGAATCCCCTAAATAATTAACAGTTAGGGAGTTCACATGGTGTTCAATAATGTCGTATTGTTGTATGTCGTTAACTTTAAAAGCTTGAATAAAAAAGCTTAAAAGTCTGAACTTTGTTTGATACCATCGTATGACAGTCAATTTTACTTTCAAAAAAATCAAAGCATCCGCAATATGGTTAGTTCAAAAAAATTATTTAAAAAATGCAGTGTAATTTAGAAAAACAATACGGGTACCAAATAAACGAGAAACTTGTGTAGAATTGAAAACAAGTAAGTTTTTTGGTGCACAAGAACACATAGGTACTGAAAATGTCCTTTTGAAAATGTATCCTAGAATATCCTTGAAAATTCCCAATAGATATATTAAAAAAATATATATGTTAAGGACTAATATACACACGACCACATGCGCGAATTTCATCCATCCAACTTTATTAGTTTAGTACAAAGAGAATAAATTAAAAGGATATTTTCAATACCTATTCGTTCGTATGTACTAAAAACAATAAATTGTTTGCAACTATAGAAAATTTTCTCTTTTATTTGGTACCCATATTGTTATTCTACATTTAAATGAATTGTTAAAATAATTTTTTAAATTAATAATATCTTTGAATTAATTTTAAAAAAAAATCCTAACGTCAGAGAAAAAACTAAATAGGCGGTTTTACTATATTTTGCCTTTGATTTCGTGGGTATATTATTTTCTCTGTGTGTTTTTCATCGGTGAGTATGTTTGAAGTCAAAGCAAAATAAATAACTAACTGACACTCATGCAATTTTTCACTTAATGCTAATGTATCGAAATTCCAACATGGTATGTTAACTGCACTTTTTCAGCTGTACAAATAGCGGCTATATCTTTATTGATGTAAAACATAATTAGCTCAAGATTACTGTTAGGTTCTCAATTAAATAATTATGTACATATGTGAAAAGCAGACAAAGTACTTAAAGCAATTAGCCTTTAGCTAGGTTTTATTAAATATATCAGTGAGCGAAGAAGAATACATACATAAGAATGGGAATGTATGTATGCATGCATGCACGTTTATAACGGGTGATTTTTTTGAGGTTAGGATTTTCATGCATTAGTATTTG